TATATATATATAGGCTTGAAAGGCTCTGAATTCTGACCAAAAGAAACAAATCAATATATATCCTTAAAAGGCAGATGAATAAAGATATGCTAATTGTTATCAGTGTTAGTGGATAAAACAAATGAGTGCTGGAAAAAACCATTCAGAAGTAAAGCTATACAGAATTCTTTTAAATCATCTTTATATTGGTTTGTTCTTACATAGTGGTCATGAGAGATTAGTTAATATCAGGTATCACCTTTAAATTGTAATAGTTTGTCTGCATGTTTTAATGTCAAATTAACAGCCTAACCATTGACTTTTAGATAATAAAATTTAATACATAAAAAGGCTTCCATCTCCGTGTCCCCAAGCCTATATGTATCTAATGGTTGATGTCATTCCAGCCTTGTTTTTAACTAAGCTGTTTTCTGCTTTGCTTGGAGGGGGTTGTAGGGAACAGTTATAACTTATCATTTACTGCAGGGTCGGCAACTTGTGGCCCACAGGCCAGATCCAGCCAGCAGGCCATGGGGCTTTGGGAGTGTGGGGGCTTTTCTTGGGTCACAGCAGTGAGAACTGGTGACAGCAGCAGCCAGGTCTTGGCACACACCTGCCTCTAACCTGAGTTGTCATTCTGGCCCCCAACTAGAAAAGGTTGCCTACCACTGATTTGCTACCCAGCTTTGACCTTTCCTTTTACTGTGCAGCTGTTATAGGTTATATCCTTTGCATGCTCTGCTACAATAATTAACAAAAAACAATTCTACCTAATACTGATTTTTTTTTTTTTTTTTTTTTTTAATTTTCTGTCTCTCCTTCTGATATAATATTAATAACACAAGTTTTTAAACAATTGTAGTGCTTTCCATTCCCAGAATTCAGTTTTGTTTATTGGGGTGATTGAGCCTTAATATTCTGTTTTTATGATCGGGAAACTGAGGTACAAAGAGGTTATGACTTGCCCAAAGGGGAACACAGACCCAAATCTGGGAATAGTTTTCCTACTGCTTGTGTCCCATTTCTTCTTCACCAGACATTGGTGTCTTTAATTGCTTGAGCAGATATGCATATAAAATAAGCTGGCAAAATATTTTCTGCTGCTTTTGGGAATATGCCTTTTAAGAATCAGATTTCCACACTTATGAGAGGATAATTTTGATTCATTTTGTATAAAACTCTGGGTAGTAATAACTCTGTATCTCTATCAATTAAAAATGGATAGAAGTTTAAAAATATTTGGTATGAGGGAGAGAATTTGGAGTGCACTGTTGTAGTGGGTGGGTTTTTTTCACTATATGTTTTAGGGTTTTTCCCCTAAAATAGACATGTCCAGTAAAATTGCTTGTATTATACGTATTGTAAATATGTTCAAAAATTTTATGCAGCTTTACCCTATGAAGCCAAGCAGGCAGTTATGTTCTGTTAAGTTATTCTTGTTAATATCAATGAAAGATGCACAGGTGTCTTAGAAATGTTTAATAATATATCCTGGTAATTAAGGCCAAGATTCATATTGGTCCCTTAGGCACATGCACATCAGTGTTGTAGTGCCCAAGGATCAGGCTATCAGTTTGTACTTGTTTACAATGTACACTAAGTAAAAATGACCTTTTATTCTTTAGGAATAAGTCAGCAACCTGATCCAGGCTTCACAGGGGCTACCACTCCCCAGAGTCCACTGATGTCCCCAAGGATGGCTCATACTCAGAGTCCTATGATACAGCAGTCTCAGGCTAACCCTGCCTATCAGTCCTCTACAGAGATGAATGGATGGGCACAAGGGAACATGGGTGGGAACAGGTAAATCTACATAAATAAAAATGTATCATTTCATATGAGAAAAGTATGCCTTTTTCATGTAAACTAGACTTCACATGAAAAATATTTATTTCTTATCTTTACCTTGCTTACTAGAGGTCTTACTGATGCATCCAGCTGTACATGAGCTGGATTTGTAATTTAACAAAATAGTAATTCTTTATTCTGTACATTAGCTATGTACTTCCACAAGAGATGGCTGAGGGCTTACCAGTGTTCACCACACAGTACCCACTGCACACTAACATTAACATTCTTTTGGGTGCATCTACACTTCATATTATAGTATTATCTACCTCACTGCCTTGCCCGAGTGTTTGCACCCTGCTTACCCTGGCTTATCAACGTGTTTGCCTTCTCCTCTGGGATCTTAGTGACTAGACATTACTTCCTTATTCTGATGCTGCAGTGCAGTCTGTTTTGGTCCCTTAATGCTTTCAGGCACCTGGGATCAGCATATAACTTTCATTTTATGTTAGTACTGAGCCATGCCTTGTGTATGCAGTGGAAGTATTTTGTTTTAATAGCAGCACATGGCTCCATCAAAACATCTTTAGCAGTCAAATCTTTCCACACCAGATTGGCTTGTGACTGATGAGTAGCAACTATAAGGGTGAGTTTCTTGGTGATGGCCACATGTTTCTAAATGGAGGGCTGGTGTACAACGGCTGCAGTTCTGGGCTAATCTCATTGCAGATGTCCAGGAAAATGCACTTTATCATTCTGAAGTGCTGAAGCTACTTTGGGCACCCTAGGTCTACAGGATTGTTTCCTCCTGCCAGTTTACACTGGCTTCTCATGCTTAGAAGCGGTGCTGCATAAGCACCTATGTTGCCTCATTGTCATTGTAGTGTCAAACTGCAGCTAATGCTTCTTAGAAGCACAGCAATTGGCTTGCAAATTTGCAGCTGTCCAGCATCAATATGTCAAGTATATTTGCATAAGTATGTCAGCTGTTTATTTGCAGTGACAAGAATTGCAATGCAGAATGGTGTTTCTACCCTCATGGCTAGATAACCATTTGAAAACAGTGCCAACTAGCCCAAAAAAGATGTGATTCATAGGAGGGCAGGAGAAAATCATGGGATTTTTTTTTTTAGATTGCCCCCAGTTCCAGAACTGTAGTTTCTTCTAATTGGCCTCTGGTATCTATCCCACAATAGGCTGTGGTTAAAATTCTACAGCACATAGGTTTCATCAACATTACCAAAATATAGCGTGTACTTTGTACTCCTGTTTGAAATTTTTAGTAAGTTCATCACACAGTAACTACTCTGTGATAACATTTAAATGAGTGCATTTGCACTTCATATTATAGTATATGCCTCTGGTGCCTTGCCACAGTGGTGACACTGAGCTTATTGCAGGGGATGTTCCCCAGCAAATGGAAGAGATTATTTGTATGCAAGTAAAAGCCTGTGTGGCCATGACTGCTGCAAGTCAACCACTATGCAGCATCCTGACTGACGTAATCCTCCCCATGTAGACAAGCTCTTAGTGGGTACATTTACACATGAATATTAATGTTATACAATAAACTCCAGCACACTCATTGCTCTCGAGTGCAGCATTTACACGTATGCCTGGGGCCACAGCACATTAAGCTGGAGCGATGCAGCCCCAGCTGGCAGGAGGCCCAGAGGGTCAGCCTGCCAGCCCAGGCCTGCTTCTGTCCAGCTCAACATGCTGCAGAGGGGGCTAGGGCATTAGGGTGCCTACAGTGTGGGGCTAGCCAGCAGGCAGCCCCACACTGTAGCATCCTCGTGCCCTAGCCAGTCCCAGTTACTGTCTATAAATGTGCTGCAGTGGAGTTAATTCATTTACTCTCTAGCCTAATAGCATCACTCATACAGACGGTGATGCTTTACTGCGGATCTAATTAGACAACTCCGCAGTAAGCATTTTGTGTAGGTGCATTCAGTTATACTTACATTGATGACATACAAGTAGTAACTTGTTTATTCATTGAAAAGAGAAAGGGCCAGTGAGTAAATATTGGAACTCATGTAGGACTTCCTGAGATGTAGTTCTAGTATGATTCACCCAGAATGGGAATTTCTACTCCAGCCTGCACTAAATATTATGTAAAACTTGGATGGAAACTTTTGCAGCTGGTTCTTCTTTAGCTGTCTTCCATCTTGAATATAATGGACATTTGCCTTCCTATGTCTTACAGGACTCTGTTTTCAAAATGTGATGTTTGAAGTCAGTCAGCAAAAATCTCTGCACATTAGCATGCCTGTATTTGTGAGACCACTTGCTATAAGTGTACATGTTAGTCTGGTATTTAAGTGTGCAAATGGCCTTCTAAAATAGTCCTGCAAAATGAGCAAGAAAACTAAGGACCTGATGAAGAATTCCTTGCATTCAAAAGCTTGTCACCTCTATCCCAACTATGCTGTAGGTCCAGTTAGAGATATCACTCTTAAAAAATCCTTGCCTTTCATGTGAAGACTAATTAACCCAGATCTACTCAACCACACTGTACTGTGATGAGCATTGCGGGGAGGAAAGGGCATTTTACTTTCCCTCCAAAAATTGCTCTCCCAAGGCTATTAAACATATGCAGTGAGTAGCCCTTAATACACGTAAATGTCTGTTATGCGCGCACACAACAGATTTGTAGCCTCAGACATAGTTTCATAGTTAGTAGGGTCAGAAGGGACCTGAGCAGATCATCAAGTCCGACCCCCTGCCATGGCAGGAAAGAGTACTGGGGTCAAACAACCCCAGCAAGGTGATTTGTCTAGCCTTGTCTTAAAGACCCCCAAGGTAGGACTTTGCTGGATATAATAATTGCCCATGCAAACAAAGATGCACATTTTTTTGTACAGCTATTAAGCCTTTGATTTTTAAAAAGTAGCTCACAGACATCAATGGTGGCAAAGCAGGCTTTCTTTTAAAATTAGTGTATATTACAATGTGGATCAGTTTGAAGAATTGCAAAACAGAGTTGTTTCTTGGTGGCTTCAGTATTCTATGTCTGACGCATTACTTTTCCATTCCTTGCTGTAGCATGTTTTCACAACAATCCCCACCACATTTTGGGCAGCAAGCAAGCACCAGCATGTATAATAACAACATGAACATCAGTGTATCCATGGCAACCAACACAAGTGGTATGAACAACATGAACCAGATGACAGGGCAGATCAGCATGACCTCAGCGACCTCTGTGCCTACATCAGGGTTGTCCTCCATGGGTCCTGAGCAGGTGAGAATTTAAGGACATGGAACCACAGCTAAAGGATTTATTTGACATGTATATTTTTGGGTAGGTAAGATTAGCTGTAAGTGCTGCAAGCCATTGTATTGAATTTACTGGTCTATTTTGAAAATGGTTATACTACAAAAAGGAAGCCTTTGTTTTAGTTTTATTTTAAAAAGACTTAGACAACTAATAGAGTAGAGTACCTGTAACATCTAAATTTCCAGTTCACATCCAGTTCTAGGCTTTCATTCCCCTGATGACCATAGTAACCTTTCATAGTTGGTTAGGGGTTTGCACCTGTTCCAGTTCATCTTTCCCTGAACATGGGTGACCAAAACATACAGTAGTTGACAGCAGGGCTCACATGTGCATAATGGAATTAATATTGCTCTGTTTATACTAAAGTTTTCTCACTTGATACATCCTAGGATCATTTCCATGTTCTCACAGACATATTGCATTATTCTAAAGGTTTACATACTATTGAGGTCAAACTAGTGGTTCTGTAGTTGCCCAATCAATTTATGTTTTCTTTTATTAAGTACAGGTGCTATGTTTGCTGTTTTCCAGTTATTTAATACCACCTTTGAGTTATTTATTCTTACAATCAGACATACAATTCCGTTTGCCAGTTCTTTCAGCATACCCAGCTGTCTCAGTTTTGCATCCACTGCAGTGAAAGCCACTTTACTAGACATCATTCTCACTAGTCATCCTGCTGTCTTTGCTCCTGTGCAGAACACTGTCATCCTGTTTCTGGAAAATGGAGTATTTTGGGGGCCATGCCTAGATTATCTTTATACTTAGTCCCATCCTCCCTGGATATTGGCCCTATTTTTTCATTTATTCCTTTTTTTACTTATGTGTCTAAAGAGTCTATTTTTTTAACATTCTTTGTGAGTTCTAACTTACCTGAACTTTTCCCACTTAATACCTCTGGGACAGAACAGTCTCTGCTAATCACTCCCTCTTCTCCATTTCTTTTAGGCTCCCTGCTTTTGTCTAATATCCTTTTAGAAATCATTATTCATCCAGTTAGGTCAGGAATGTTTCCCTACATGTTTTCTTTCTCTTGGTTGCAAATTCTGGATAGTATCTACATTTTTTACTTAAAGAAGTTCCCAGGTTCCTCCACAAAACATGTTTAACTCCATGAGTTCTTCCATCCAATTTACTTTCTTAAGTTCTTTTCCTTAATTTCTCAAACTTTGTCCTTTTGAAATAAAAACTTTAGTCATTGAATTATCTTTTGTTTAGCTACGAATAAATACATTTTTGCTATCACTCAGTCTAAAATTTGATCACTCAATTTTTCACAACCAGTTAATTTATAATGTCTTATTACATACGGGGCATGTGTACACACGCAGTTAAATTTAATACACCTTTGCTTAAGATGTATTAAATCTATTTAGGCATGTGTCTACACATGGACACACAGAAGCGCATTAAGGTGCGTTAAATTTAGGCACAAGTAGCTAAGTCGCATTAGTGCATATGCAGACGCACTAATGTACGTTAACATGATGTCTGTCCATTGATGCATACCACGTTAATGTGCATTAGCGCATCTACATGTGTGGTAATGCAACTTAGCTTGATACCTTGCTTTATGCAGGTATCAAATTTAGGCTCACATAGCCTTAAATTGCCATTTTAAGGTGTATTTAAGGGCACACATGTGTAGACATACACCATTAATGTGCCTTAGAAATGACAGTTTTAGGCTAAGTCTGCTTAAAAGTGGCACATGTAGACGCACCCACTGGAACCAAATCTAGAATAGCACCAACTCTTGGTTCTGTCACTGTGAAAAAACAAATGGATGCTGCAATTATTAATAGTATTTGTACAATATCTGGGAAATTTGAGAATATTTTCCCCAGGTAAGGTTTAATGTAGTAATACTAATTAAGCAATGGAAGATGAGAATACACATGTAAGGATTCCCCACTTTTCCAACATTACCCTGAGAGCTTTTCTTGAGGCAGAGCCTGACTTGATGACCGCTTTTTATTTATTTATATTATCTCCACTTCCACATATCCTTTTAACAGATGGCTTCTTGCTTAGCGTCACTTTTTTTTTGGCGCGCATTACAGATGGTACTTACAGATGGGTTTGTCATGTTACCTGAGAGGTTGCATATAGCAAAATATCCCTTAGTGCTGGATCACCTGTGACACTGACACTGTAACAGATAATGGTTTCTTTTGATGTAAAGTGCTACCCTTTACCCATTTATCTTTAGAGAACAAACTGTAACTTTTATTTTAACGTTTCGTTTGCATAATTCCTTTCTCCAAATTTTAGTAATACCAACTATATCATGTTATTTCTTATACATTAACTTTTCCAGCTCCATTTGTTATTACCTAGGCTTCCCAGAGCACTATATATTGAGAGTTTTAAAAATGTCACATTTGGGTGCAGGGGCAGTTCTGGGGAGGGGATGAGGCGACAGTGTTGCAGTTCCTGTTTGATTCCTGCTCCACCCAACCTTTAAAACCAAGAGGGGAAGCAGCATTTCTGTTCAGACAGTGCTGACAATCAATTGATTTAATGGCTTATTATACTGTACCTGATTACTACTAATCTCTTCACTTCAGTGATGTTAACAACCCTCTCTCCTTTTCAATGATCTCGATGTTCTGTTAATCTAGTTACCCTTTCTTCTGCAATTTTGCTGTCTGTTAGCCATTCCTTGGTAATATCGCTCATCTATTTCACAGACTGTTTATAGTTCGAAGTAAAAATCTTAACCCAGGTGTGGTAATTTAAACTCAAGTGAACATTAACTCAGATATGGGCATGATTGACAGTCAAGTATTGGATGCCATCTCAAGATGCTCAAGAAGGCTAGGTTTCATTTTACAAATCTTTATAGATAAATGTACATTTTTTATTCGGACTACAGGACTAATAGAACACTATATTTTGACTGTTTTGGCCTAGTCTGTTATGCATTTAAAATCAATATATAACCTAGCAAACTAGTGCACATTCCAATAAAGTTATATTTGTGTTTGCTCTGATCTTAAACTGAATAATAGAGCACTGGGCCCCTAGCATATTAGGAAATCTGGGGGTTTTTTAACTGTAGAAAAATGCATTATGTAATATGATGTTGCACTACACCGTGTGCACTCCGCTTTTCAAAATCCTAGATCCACCAATATTTGAATGTTAATACACTAATTGTCTTACCACTTTCCACTTCAAGATTAAGTGAAGCCCTTTCGGCCAGCTTAGTTATTCTTTCAGTAGATTGCTACCATACTGCTACTATTAAAGAATGTTCTTCCTTTAGGTTGGATATTAGAAAGAACTTTGTCATTCTGAGCATTGTTAAGCATTGGAAAAGGCTACTGAGCAAGTTATGGAATCTCCATTCTTGGAAGATAAGAGCAGATAAGAGATAAGAGTGTTTTGTCTAAAACACTTGACTGAGATGGTTTAGGCAGGGGTGATTCTGCCTTGAGTCAAGGGCTAGACTAGACAACCACCTGATGTCCCTTTGAGCCTTATTTTTGTTTGATCCTACTGAAATGGAAACCATCAAAACCAAACAGGCCCCCTCTGTGTAGTGGATTCTCCAGTGTTCAGCAAAACCAAAATTGTACCCATTTACTAACAATTCATCTCTAGTATCTTCCTGTTTATTGGTTTAGGCATGCGGTATTGTTACTTGTTTTGTATTTTGAATCATGTAGAAACGGGATGTTAAAATCTCCACAGCGGTACAGGAGGAGAGGTTTTGCAATATGTAAATAAACTATTACAAGGTGACCACTGAGGATTCATTCTATTCATCCACACAGATGCATTACTGTCAAGGTCAAATTGGCATGAATTACCTTGAAAAGTTACTCTGAAAACTGTCTTGAGTATCTTGTATATGGGATCAAAAGAGTTAAGAAAGAATCTGCAACAGTCTATTGGGAATTTTCCAAACAGTTCAGCTCGATTGGCAGGCAGGCTGTGGTAATTTGCTCTTTAGAAATGTTATTGGAAAACAAGTCTGATTTTTGTTTTACTCTGGTTTAATATCTAAATCATAACCAGACCAGCCATCCCATTGGTATAAACCGTAAGCATTCTCTAGTGCAGCAGAAGCACTTGGTAACAAATATAAAATAATAATAATGTTAGGTCCCATGTTTTTGCTTTTCTGATGGAAACAGTAACACAACTTCGATTTCAATTGTAGTCAGAAACATGACTATGGAAAAAAATACTTTGGGGTTGTTTTGTCTTTCAGTGACTTCCAAATTATATTTGCTGCATTTACAAAACAACAAGATGATTTTTGAACTCTTGTATTTTTACTGACAATAAAAAATTATCTGCAATTGGATGTCACCTGATGGTTTTGTTAACCTTGTGCAAGACAGACTAGGGCCAGGTTGCTGTTCTGCATCTCTGCTGGATCTACTGTCACAATATCTATCATATACATGCTGCTGTTTTTGAGAAGAGTTATTTTCTTTAATATATATTTTTTATTTAAATATAAATTTTATCTTCTGCTTTTTTTCAATTGCTTCCTCCCAGTTGACTGAATGAAATGGAAAATATTGTATATTTTGAGACTCTTACATATAGTAGCAAATCTACTGCCCAATTGTCAATAAAAGAGAATAGTCTTCCTAAATTCATGTTTTTGTTATTTAGCCAAACACACAGTTGCAAGGCTTTCTAATCCCTTTCTATCCAGGAAAGAATACCATAGTTATATTATCTGCTGATTGGGTTTACAAAAATCCATTCACCTGCTTATCATTGAGAAAGGGAAAACAGGGGGGCTTAAACAGACTTTAAACTATCATATTAAAAGCGAGGCCTCTACCCATCTGTTTGAAAAAATAACTTTCCTAATGTGAACTACTTGAAAACTAGTGCGTGGTTGTCCTCCTAGATCTTTAAACAGATCACTCCAATATCCTTGCTGTAGCTCCTCCTTATTTGCCATTATTTGGCAACTCGGTGAATCATGGCACAAGCAGCAGGGTAGGGGAAAAAGACCTTAAACTGGAAGGGCATAATGATTGGTGGCAGGTTGTCTTCTCCTTTTGCCACACCCAAGACAATGGACAGTAGTGGGTAGTGTAGTAAAAAGACATCCCAGCAGCCAGGAGGTACTGGAGGGAGGCAAGACAGAAAACTTACTTCCCTTCCAGCAAAGGAATGGTGCAGGAATTTTCAAATGTACTAGACACCTTCTATCCAAAGGTTCGTATAATAGGTAATGGTCCCAACAGGAACCCAGGAACAGGAGGCTAAGGCTAGTGAGGAAAGTTGGATTGTACAGTGCCCCTAGAGCTTGCTATTCAGTCACTCTCATTTTACACCGCTCCCCTGCCCCTCTCCCCTGCTTATTAGATTCTAGACATTGAAAATTATACATTTGTTTTAATTTTCTATGTCTAGAATCTAATTACTGGAGGGTCATCTTAAATTCACCCATCCCCCTTACTGTCACAGGGAAAGTAGTGGCAGGGAAAGCAGCAGCTGAGAGGCAGACAGCCTTCCCCAGGCCCTTTGGTACCCCCTTTACCATTCCTCCTACTTACTTTGAAGCTGATTGGCTCTGTCTCCGCCAAGGGCACAGAGCACCTGCCTGAGCCAGGCAGTAGTAGCAGTTCCAGCTCCAGCCTCCAGCCCAGGTCAGGGTTAGGGCCAGAGCAGCGGCAGCTCCCCCTGTTGTTCGGTGCTCCCTCCTGCTCCATGCATCACTGTCACCGTGCTCCCCCTCTTCCGTCCATTCCTTCTCTACACTCCCTTCACTCTGCGCTCCCTACACTGGCTCCCCTGCCCCCTCCTTGCTTCACATATTCCTTTCCCTGCCGCACTTTTCCCCTGTGCTCCCTCCAACACTACATGCCTCCTTCTCTGTGCTCCCCTCACTCCACTTGTCCCTTCCCCCACACTCCCCCTAGCACTGCATGTCCCCTTCCCTCCCCGCTTCCCCTCACACTGCACGCCCCTTACCCCCGTGCTCCCTCTGCTGCATGCATGGTCTTGCTGTCACGTGAGCCACCCTGGCCTTGTCCGGAGCTGCAGCAGCTGCTTGCCTGCCCCATACCCAAATCTAAGACAAGGGTTTTTTAATGGGGGTGAGGGGTGGTAAATCTATCATCTTAGATTTGAGTAAGCACGGTATGTTCTCTGGCTAAGCAAACTTGAAATTTGTCAAGCACTAACTACATCTGCAAACTTGAACCTTCCTGTGTAGCACCGAGAAATGAGCACACATAGCAACAACCTTTCCCCCACCACCTCTCCCACTGAAGACCATCCATATGAGAACAAGTACAGACACAGTTTTGCACTTAAAATCACCTTCCTCCTGTTATCCCTCCTGAGCAGGGAAAATGAGCTATTTGCACCTAATCTGTATTTAATGCAGTTCAGCCCTGTTTCCTTACCATACTCATAAAGCTGTGCTGTGGTTTTGCATCAAGGAGAACCAATGCTATCTTTGTCCCTGAGAATAGGAAGATACCTGGTGGTCTGTAGCTTCTGGCCATTCCCAGCAGGTAGCTACTTTTAGATCCCACTTAAGTAGAGCACTTATGCAAAAACAGTATCAAGAGTGAAGTCTGCTATTGTCAGTAAAGATAGTATGGGTCAGGCCTACATGCTGAATAAGAATGGTGCCTATTTACCTAGTTGTTTGTCTGACCATAATTTAATTTTAGAGGCGAGTTATCATGTGCATTTACAACGTGACGTATTATTCTGTAATATTTCTTTTTACTGTCTCCTCGTGTTTTCTGACATGTTGCTTCAATATCTTGTTACTGTTAGGTTAATGATCCTGCTATGAGGGGAGGCAATCTTTTTCCAAACCAGCTGCCTGGAATGGATATGATAAAGCAGGAGGGGGATGCAACACGGGTAAGAAATAATACATGCACACAGAGTCGACTAGAAACTGAGTAGTTTGAGGACTTGAAGGTGTATTGATGCCCTTGTTTGTAGCAGAGCTAGAAACAGCTATTGTGCGAGTAATTTTTTCCTTTTTGATAACCCATGATTTTAATCCATTTTTCTTTGTGTTAGTGTTTTTAAAAGGTTTTTCCAGTGAATTCATTGTTAATTCAACTGGCAGTGACATCTGTGTTACAGATCCTCATTTAGACTCCAAGTGGTGGTGTTAAATCTTTCTCATGTAATTACCCATTCTACATTAACATTTATGAAGGTAACAAACAATTAAATTCAGCAAAGTTTCGTTTAGAGTTTATTTCCTTTTTACAGTGCAATTACACAAGTGTTCGGTAAAGAGGAGTGCGGTTTCACTGCTGATGTATATGTCCGCTGTTGTTTGCTTAATCCATTTTAAATTTAATGCTATCTAAGTGTTCTGCTTTTCATTGCATTGTACTTAAGGCAACGATTTTATGAATTATTTAAATTACCTTCTGTACAATACTTGTTCCAAGGAGAGTAGCAGCACTGAGCTAGCTTGCAGACCGATATGTAACTGATATAGTAATTAACACTCGCAACTACACTGATATGTATTCCAGTAGTAGTATTAAAGGAAAGCCACCATAGGCTTTTGACACATTGGCAGATGAACAAGGAAGTTTTTAGGTGCCCCCTCACTGGAGTGTTCTTCATGGAAAATAGCCTTCTCAGCTTTTAGAAGAAGCTTGCTATAACAAAGTTGGTTCTTGTGGACCAGAGTTAATTTTAAATAAAGGTGTGTGATCCAAGCATCATTACAATTGTCTAAACCTACACAAATATAAAAGGAAGGTCACTGCAATTGAAGTATTTTTGCATGGAAGTTTATAAGCTGAAAATAATTAAATATCCTGGCTTTTAAAACCGTACCAAAACTAAATTGATGCCTTCACATTTTCATTGCACATCCAGCATTGTAAGGATTAAACAGGGTTTGTTACTCCATAACATGGTTTCAAAGCACCATCTAGTGGTTGATGTTTTTATTATCTAATTTTTGCATCAGTGTTCATTTTTACTTTTCATTAAAGGTACTTCAAAGGAAACAGAAAGATTTTATGTAGGTTTCCACTCTAAAATAAAGTGCATGCAGCATTACTCTCTTGTTCAGTTGTTTTCACCTGCCATAGAATGCCAACACAGACTGCCTAATCATGGAGCCAGCCACCATGTCATACAAACTTTAAAGCTGTTGAAATAGTTTAGACTTGGTCATCCCTCTGTGCTGAAACAGAGGCAGGGTTGCAAATGAGTTGCCCAGGCCCTTTTGGGTGGTTGGGGTTTTTTTGTTTTTTTTTTTGTAATTGGTTCCTTACTTGCTTATTTCTGACCACATTTAATTTTTCCAGTTTTTTCATTGTATTTTTTTCTTCCCTTCAAAGTTTTTTTCTGAACCATTAAAACAGGAAAAATATGGAAAAGAGTGTAAGCAAAATAAGGGACAAAAAACTTGGATTTCTTGTCACTTCTTTCCATTTCTCAATGATAAAAGCCAAGGAAAAAGAAATGGAATTAAAATGCAAGCATTAAAGACTGAGGCCAATAATAACATTTAGAAGTAAAATTTTCCACTTTCAGGGTAAAAAATTTAAAAAGAGGAGGAAAAATTCTGTTCAGAGATGAAATATGTTGAGATCAGTCGAGAAGTTGAGGAGAGAAACCTGAAGGGTTATCTATCTCTTCAGAACCACTCTGTATTTTCACATGCATATAACACCACAACTGCCTGAAAGGCTGTTTTCAATACCACTGGGATTCATGTGACATTGTGTGTGTCTCCAAGACTGGAAGATTTACCTGCAGGTAATTTTTTTTGTGGAGTGGATCATGTAAATAGAAATAATAGAAAAGATGGCCACTGAGGCCAATATATCTCCTTTTTCTGGACGGTATCTTTGAAGTATCTTCTTGCCATTTAGACACAAGTATGGTCCTTACCCTGTAGAGTTCAACATTATAGAAACAGTGTTGTTGATCATGAGTATAAGGGGGGAAAGTTTGTAGAGGTGGTGGATTTTAAGGACAGATTGAATGGAAGAGGAAGAAGTATGCGACAGAAGAGGGCAGTAGGTACAGAAGCTGAGGCTGGGAAAAAGATCAAGGAAAATGTTAATCAATAGGATAGAAAGCAAATAAGCTTTAAATGTTGGTGGGCAGGAAGATGCTGGAGTCTTATGTGAGAATTTGCTATGGTAAGAGTTCCAACATGGGATTGCAAATCAAAATTAAACTCATTTCAAATGGCAATGTTTAATTAGCTAAAATATGGATAATCTGAGTATGTAGTAATGATTTTAGATGTATTAGTAATAGTAAGTAAACAATTTAACTTGTCCTGGTTAAAAACTACTGAATTCTACAGAAGTCTTTGGGAGTCCACTTGTGTCCCCAGTCAGAATTTTGCATAAGTACCTGTAAAATATGTAACACATTTTTAAAAATACAAGTTTTGCAAACTTCCTTAATCCTGAAGATAGGGTTAAAGCAGGTTTGCTTCTCTACCGTATTTTAATCAGTCACGGCTGGTAGCATTGTTTGGAACATTTTTATTATATTGCAGCAGTAAGCAGTTTGTTGTATATTGTGTACTCTAAGAATAGGCTTTCTTTGATAAAAATAAAAAATATACAATAGATGTAGCTATATGAAGAAAATTCGAATCAGGAATTAGTTATGTTGTATTACAACACAAATACTAAAAATTTTCAGAGTTCTGTATGTAGAAATGTAACTTTAGCTGATGGTAGCTTAATGTGTGGTTGCAATCCCCTGAAAAAGATGGGGGTTTTTTCCTCACCAAGACTGTATTTTTGTATATTCTCCTTCTCATATCATGTAACTTTGTTATGATGCAATGACCCAAGTTTATTCCCCCTGAAAGCCTTTATAGTCATTGGAATGAATGTGGCTCATTGCTGCCTGGCTGATTTAGTGGATACACCAAAAGCATAAGGACACATTTCTTTATGAATGTTTATTTTTCTTCAGGGTTTTGAATCCATATGCTAATATTGTTGCAGCACATGTTGTCAGTGCATTAAACATGGAAGCTAATGCATAGTAATTTTTTGTTAGGCCTAGCTCAACTAGAGAAAGTATATAGATATTTTTGCCTACTTAAGATGACAAAATTAGAGGTCATTTAAATTATGAACATATTCAGATTAACATCACAGGGGTGTTGTGTTGGATGCATGGAGTTCCTGAGGTTCAGCCATGTCTGTAGGCAGCAGGCCTGGAGTAATGAGTAGACATGAATTTAGGGCCCTGGATTCCTGAATACGGTGATGTTTTGGAATGAGTTGTCATTCAGGAAAAACAGGTACCTTCCTAGTCTTCATGGCCAAAAAGAAAAGCTTGAAATGGGAATCAAATGCAATATGATGAGATCTGCCTGAATCTACAGACAGCCTTTAGAAGCTAGAAATACAGCAACCATACCAGCCAAGAAGAAAGCTACCTTGCTCCAAAATCACCACAAAGAAAACCACACCTTTGTTTGGGAGGGCCAAAATACAAAGTTTATCAACAAGGATTTGACTGTTTGAGCTCTTGCACTAAATTGGAAAGCAATGTTTTCACAGTAGGATTAGCAAGGCACTTGGGGGTGCTCGTATACCCCCTACAGGAGTCTCCACTTCGCTTCTTGCCTGTCATTTCTCAGGGGGTCAAACTGTGAGGGGCAATCAAAGAGGTGTTTTTCTGGCAAGTGTCACTGATCACAATGAATTACACTCTTGGTAGCTTGTGGATATGATCAGCACCCCACTTTTCTGTGATCAGGAATGTGGAATAGTTAACCACAACTATTTAAATATCAATATTGCTATGTATTTGCAGCAACATCTCATTCAGATAAATGGAGTGGCTCACATCTCTCAGAGCTGTTGTTTCAGGTAGAGCCGGTTGGATATTTTTGATGGAAAATGCTGATTTACTTAAATGGAAACTTTCTTTGGGAAGAATCCAGTTTTGGATTTTTCAAGTTCAGAATGATGTTCAGAATAATGTTTCCAACCCAAACATGAGAAGACAGGTACCCAGAAAGAGCTGGTGGGCTGAGCACTTGTTGAGGGTTCTCAATTTCAGAGGTTATCATCAGAGGTGTTACAAGCAGTTTTTGCGCTAAGGGCAGTGGCCAGGGCAGCAACAATGGGTGGCATACCATGTGCCTCTTCAAAATCAACACCTATGGTTAGTGCCCCAGTTTCTACCTTTAGCAATGTTACTGGTTGCTGTCTGAATTTCTCTCAGCTTCTAAATATGGGCACATACAAAGATGCAGTAGCAGAGCAGCAAAGCACAACTTTACACTTCTGAATAGTCCCACTCACTTCAGCAGTACTAATCATATTTAAAGTAACATGTGGTCTTTGGTGTTGAAGTAAAGCCTTAATGGCATCAGCACAGAGAACTGTGAAGCTGCCTGTTTTACGGCCAGTTTTGGAAGTTTGGTCCCTTTGGTCTCGTTTAATCATGACATGTAGGTTGACTGAGTTCTGTTTAAATCTGTATTGTGCAAGATAGATGCATGTGTCTATGGCCTCTGGTAGATGTTACCTTTATAATACATTTAACGTGTTTTTGTACTATAAATTACAACATGCCACATATTCAGTCAACTTGTGGTACCATAAAATAGAAAACCAGACACAAAGGTATTCCACGTAATGTAGAACGTCTGTGTGGCTGGTTTTTGTGGTATCTTAAATTGAACATTTGCACATGTTGTTCCACACTGGGGCTGCCCCAAATTCTGCCAGTTAGCTGAGTGTCGGCATCTCCAGGGAACAGCCCCAGATCTAAAACAGCACTGACCCTGTATACTCCCATATCTCCAACCAGACTCAGGGCTGTCTAGAGCTGGTGCCAACAATCAGGTGATTGTACCTCGAGCCAATCTCGAACTAGCTGATTGTTGGATCTGGCCCCAAATAGCTCTCAGTCTTGGGGCTGCCTGTGCCCATTCCTGACACTCAGCTGAGCATCAGGATAGGATAAAGGAGAGCCCTAGGATCCAAGACAAAGCTGCATGTCTGAATCTCAGGATTGGACTTGGGGTAGTCTTGCAGTGGCACAATTCGGATTTAAGAAATTTAATGCCCATCCCAAATACTGTGTATTCTGCCATACAGTGTTTGAGATAGAGCATAAAATTCCTTACATCTCAGTGACTCCCTTATTTTAACATCTGTATGTGGGCAACATAGCCTTGTTCCCCTACTCTCTGCGTCTCTGTCCATGAAGAAGTAATTGATTTTGTTCCTATTTCTGTTTTTGCAGAAATATTGCTGACCCTGAAGGTTGTTGGTTGCTCCCTTCTCCAGCTGACTGGGCTCCCCAGCCCAAAACCCTAACCAGTTTGAAGAGCTGCATCTGTTTGTTATGACCCATCTGACCTGCCAGCCAGTTCCACTGGAGCAAGTTCAGCTAAGCGCTGCAGACAGGACTCAGCTCTGCCTTCCAGAGTGGGGTCAAAATGGTTGTTGCTGGAAGAGCAGCCTCTTCTTTGACAGTCTGAAGCTAGCGTACAGACAGTTGCTCAGTCTGTTCACTGCATTCACCTTAGTGCAACTTAGATCTCTCCTGCAAAGTAAATGTTGACAGGCAATTTTCATAAACCATGTCAGATTGAATGTATTTAAATGTATGTAATTAAGGAATAACAACCATGCTCTCGTTCTGTTTCTGTTTAGTTCTAGACCTTATTTTTTTGCTTTGTTTTCCCTGGCTACTCAGTCTGGTGCAAAGGATTCAGTTCCATCTGAAAATTTGTGTTTTAAACTAAGGCCTGCATTTTGGGGGTGGGGAGTGGATCAAAACCTGGTAAGGGTGGGAGGCAATGTCTGGTGCATATACAAATATAATAAGTGGGTTTGATTTCAAGGACAAGTTAGGGAAGGTGAACGTGTAGAATACTGTACGAATCAATTTTGAATGGGTTCAAAGTTGTGAAACGGGCTAAGAATACTCTGTGAGAGGGCTGTTTACAAGGCACATTTTTTAATGCTTGTAATACCAATCATGAATCAAAAAGATCGATGTAAGTTACTTTTTTGTTAAATTCCTAAAAATCAGCAACCATGATTTTACCTGACTCTTGACATTTTTCTCATTCACCTCTTCTATACAATAAAAGAACAGGTAAGCCCTTCATTTCCCTAAGTGTGTTACCAGCAGTTTAGACTGCAAGTAACCAGTTGCTGAATAATGGGGTTCAATGAGAATGCATTTACTGGTGATGGTAGTGGCAGAATTGGTGCATAATATCAAAAAGAGCTAAAGACACCTGCTTTAAAACATGTTAATTTCCATTCCCTGTCCCCTTTGTTGGGAAAATAATGATTTTTTAAAAACCTATGGCAGATATCACTACAGGCAGAACCACCATCGTGCATTTTTAATTATTTTAAAGCAGTGTGGACTCTGAGGAAGTTTTGTAAGGTACATAAAATCCAGTTTATATATAAACAAGCAATAATTTAAGTTCAAAACTTAAGTGTTTTAACTGTATAATTTTTGTGAGATATACATGTTGTGGAGTTGATTCCAAATGAGGTACTTCAGTATTAAATTAGATATCTTCATAGCTGTGTGTGTCTCCTGAAAAAGTGTTTTGTAAAGGATCACAATGCCTTGATTAGACCTAATTTGTAGGCTTGAGAGTTTTCATTTTTTAAACCTTGTGATTCTGCTCATGAAGTCATTTATCTAAACTATATTATATGCAGCCACTGTAGGAACCAATTCTTGATTTTTGTATGTTTATATTCTTTCTTAATGACTCTTAGAGAAACTAACTGTTACTAAGCAGGCCACTGTGGGGGTGGCTTTTTTCTTGCCCATTGGGGTTGGAGTAATCTTTACAAAACTGGCATCAGTTTATGAGGACTTGAAATACCAAGGAATTGATGAAGTTCTTTGACTTCCTGTTTCTTTCCTCTAACTCCCAATCCACACACTTTCTTACCTGATCTCCAATGTTTTGATGTCATTTAAAATGCAATGCATTTGATAATATCTCATCAGCCATGTCTTTTGGGAGTGAAAGGTTTATTTTCTTGTAATTTGATTTTTTTTTGAGGTGGGGATTAAAATGTACAAACCTACTTCTTGCTCTATATAAAGCTGAAGAAAATATGTTAAAGATGATTGGAAAGAGCTGTTTTCCATGGAGCAGTTTTGCTGAAAACCAAGGAAAATCAGAATCTGTTTGTCTCCTGTGAGGGGGATTCAAAACCCATGGGAAAAAAAGTATCTTTCAGCAGTTACCATTTTGTTGATCAAACTAAAAAAATG